TGCATGTCTATCCCAAGTTAGTCTATCAGTGTGAATGACATGTGTTTATGATTTAGATGTCACCAGTAAAGTAACTTAACTTTTCCTTCACTTTATATTGTTTGTGCTTGACAGTATCTCCTGCTTTCAGGTTTATTTCCCATATTTGCTGATCAACAAAAAGAGATATGCTGGCTTGTACTTTACTCGGCCGGAGATCCACGACAAGATGGACTGCAAGGGTATTGAGACAGTGCGACGTGATAATGCCCCCATTGTTGCAAACTTGATCAACACTTGCCTTCAGAAGATCTTGATTGACAGGTATGAGGAAATTTTGAAGCTAGTAAAAGTATCTGCACATGATATATGCCAGGCATGTTGTGATATTCTGAACTATTTTATCTATAATTGCTTTTATTGTCACCAGAAAATAGACATGCCTACTAACAGAGTACAGATATACAATAAATTTTATTTGCCCTGTATGAATATGAGATAAGTTTTTATTAACTGTGTAGTTAAAAAAAGTTAATAAATACATTTTACATCTTTTAACCCTGAGTTAATGATAATATTTTGAAAAAATCAGGAATCCCATGGGAGCAGTAGACTACGCCAAGCAAACGATTTCTGACCTCCTGTGTAACCGTGTGGACATCTCCAACCTTGTCATCACAAAGGAACTGACAAAGACGGAGAAGGAGTACGCGGCCAAACAGGCTCACGTAGAACTTGCCAACAAGATGAAGAAGAGAGATCCAGGCACGGCTCCTAAACTGGGCGATCGAGTGCCTTTTGTGATTATTGCGGGAGCGAAAGGAACACCTGCTTATGAAAAGGCGGAGGTATTTATTGGCATTTGTTGCTTGTTTGGGTACTTTTCTTAATTTAGTGTGTTTGTGTGTTTGTGAATGTTCATCTGTCTGTCTCTGTTTTACGTGCTCATCTGTGATTTGTAGCATAAACATACTTTTTCTTCACAGGACCCCATCTATGTGTTGGAGAACAGCTTACCCATTGACTACGAATATTACCTGACCAACCAGCTGAGCAAACCCCTTTTGCGAATTTTTGAGCCCATCCTGGGAGAGAAGGCAGAATCACAGCTGCTAAGTAAGTTTTCAATATGTTGATTCCTCATAATATTAATATTCCTTTCAGTTACTGTTCCACTATTATAGTAACTCACTGTAAGTTTATTTGATTAATTTGTGTCTGTGCAAATTGACATCTGAATTCTGAGTCCATGACCACTGCCATATTAAATCCGTTTTATGTTTTTATGTTTGCTTTGCTCTTCAATATTTTTTCTCTTCATGGTGTTGACAAAGTTAAGATGATATTTAAGTTCTATATTCTTACATTAACAGCATTGCTTATACTTTATTAATATCTGTAACAGAGGGAGACCACACCAGATCGAGAATCATAACACACAGCAAAGTTGGAGCCATGGCAAAATTCATCACCAAAAAGGCCTCATGTGTTGGCTGCAAAGTGCCAATTACTTCAGCATCTGAAGCATTATGTAAACATTGCAAGGTAAGTTTTTTTATTATTGTTGCTAACTCCTTGGCATTGGGGCTTATATGTGGACATCTGGTTGAAATAGACAGCTTTGACACAAACACAACCAACTGTATTTAAATATTTATATGAAATGTTTTCTCTGCATAATTAACTATCAAGTCTTAAATAAATTACTAACTAAGGTTATTGTCTGATGATGATTATTATAAGAGAAGCTCCTCCAGTTCTATAATACTCACTCCCACACTAATATAATGTATGACCTATATCCTCTTCTCAGATGCGGGAGGGTGAGATTTACATGCAGCACATAACAACTTTAGGAGCCTTGGAAGAAAAGTTTGCAAGGTTGTGGACACAGTGTCAGCGCTGTCAGGGATCCATCCATGAAGAAGTTATCTGCACGAGGTATGTTTAGTCTTTTTTTTTTTTTTTTTTTTTTTTCCTGTAAGTAAAGCAAATCCAATAATGTATCCAGAAACTGAAATGCATCTCTGCCCCAATAAGAAGGGGACACTCAAAAACCTCAAAATTACTTTGGCAGTGTTAGACTTTTTGTTTTTGTTTGGCTATGATCATTGATTAATAAATTTTTATTTGAGCTTGTTGACACAGCTAGTGAGTTTATGTAAAAATCAATTCCTTTATTTTTTCTACCCCCAGCCGAGACTGTCCTATCTTTTACATGCGCAAGAAAGTACAGCTGGAGTTGGGTGATCAAGACAAAGTGATACAGAGATTTGGAGCTCCTGCGTGGTGAGCTGAATGAAGACGTATCAATAAAATGTTCAAATATTTCCTTAGTATTAGAATGATAACAAGTGCCTGATAATGGAGTAACTTCAAAACTTTTTTATCAGTTATGTTTGTAAGGGATAGTAATGAAATATAATTTACTTCCAAGTTTATATTTTATAAAGTATTACAAAAAACATGATGTTTTCCTTGAAATCAAATCCTTATTTTACATAAATCAATATACATTATACATATATGGAATATACATTTTATTTACATGACTTTTACATATATGTATACATATGCATATGCATATGTATAAGAGTATACACATACATACAAACATACATATATATATATTCTCATAACAAAAAGAAAAAAAAATACATTGCAGTGCTTTCTGCAATGAAATATAGGCAGTAAAATAAGAGTTCACTTGAGAAGAGCTCTGCAATGATCTCAGGCAGGGATGTGATTCTGCAACAAGTATTTGCAATGAGGTGAATACAAGGCTTTCATGCATTCTATGCAACATTATAGCATTTTTTTTTTTTTTTAGCTTTCTTGGTATGAGCTTGTTTGGGCATATTTTACATAAAGTAAGCTAACAGGTCAACCAAGACATTGGCATTATTGCATAATTTGTTATTGTCAACATTGTGATACAAAACGTATAACATGATCAAAAGATAATAACTTTATAATTGGTTAAAAAATCTTTTAAGCAGCAGCATTGAATAAACAACAAACAAAAAAGTACAGCTCAGGTTTTCAAATTTAATTTGCAAATGCTGTTTCACATGATTAATGATCCTAACAGGCTTTAGAGTTCATGTCAGCAATGCAGTATCAGTTTCACACACCTACCAACACTAAGCATCTTATGACTAGCATTTCCACTGTTAATCCACATTTTCACAGCCTGAGGTAGTACAAATTGCATATTACATACATATTTATTTTTCATCTTCACCTGTCCAGTTTTTTTTTACCAATTATATCTCCATCTATAAGTGTAGAATATCTGTGGTACTTTTCTCATTAAATAATTATTATAGGTACAGTTGTAATCATACTGAACTGTCTAAACTAAAGTTCACTGACAGATGTAAAGACTTGTACTAAGAATGTAATTACTGAATTATGTTCATTTGCTGATGCTGGGATGGCATGTACACATTTTCAATTTTAGTTTATTAACCCAAAGGCCCCAGGAAAATATGTCTATTGTAGTGTTGTTTTGTGAAAGGTCTCTGCACACAGATGGCTCTACAAGTGCTAAGCCACAAAGGAGTCAATTAGTAGACCTTGTGACCTCACCTCATTTCACCTTTCCTTGAGTTTGCACAAAAACACTTTCTTTTACTAATGCTATAAATATTGATGCTGTTACTTTTATTATAGACTTTATAATTATTTTCTTGTTACTGACAATACTAACAGCATTATTAGATACTAGGATATATCTTTGAAAATCAAGGAAAAGGGTAAACAGGTTAGTTAAGCAGTACTCTTAACTGACTCACTGGCAACTCATAGTAGGCATGGCACATACATACATGCCATTTTTTTCTTACACATAATGGCTTTACAAGTGCTTAGTAACCAAGGAGTCAGCCTACCTGTTTACCAAATTTCTTGATTTTTCAGAAAAAATATTGAAAATGTAGTAAGCACATGAACTCAATTATGCCTAGTAACTCACTCCTTGGTAACTTAGTGCTTGTGAAGCCTTCTATGCATAAAGAACATACAACAAAACAATACAATGGACTGCATGTCCTTGGCACCAGCAGGTTAAATTTCAGTGTATGTGTGAAATCAATTACATCCATAATCAGTCAATATTCTTGTGGACACTTAACAAAATTGTATAATATTCCAACTTACCTACACAAAATAGTATTCAACAAAATTTGTAATAATTAAAATGTTCTTACGATATGAGATTCTTTCTATAGTGACAAAATTCTCCGGCGCTTTAAAGTTTATTGAAGAGCTGTTGCTTAACTGACTGTAAGATCAATACAAGTGAACTACACACAAAAATAATTATACATGTACCTAATCTTCTCAAAGTATATATATATAAAAAAACAAATGAGACAGGTTTGCAACTACCCAAGCTTCACACTTCAAATTTCTTGATTTTTCAGAAAAAATATTGAAAATGTAGTAAGCACATGAACTCAATTATGCCTAGTAACTCACTCCTTGGTAACTTAGTGCTTGTGAAGCCTTCTATGTATAAAGAACATACAACAAAACAATACAATGGACTGCATGTCCTTGGCACCAGCAGGTTAAATTTCAGTGTATGTGTGAAATCAAATTACATCCATAATCAGTCAATATTCTTGTGGACACTTAACAAAATTGTATAATATTCCAACTTACCTACACAAAATATTATTCAACAAAATTTGTAATAATTAAAATGTTCTTACGATATGAGATTCTTTCTATAGTGACAAAATTCTCCGGCGCTTTAAAGTTTATTGAAGAGCTGTTGCTTAACTGACTGTAAGATCAATACAAGTGAACTACACACAAAAATAATTATACATGTACCTAATCTTCTCAAAGTATTTATATATAAAAAAACAAATGAGACAGGTTTGCAACTACCCAAGCTTCACACTTTCAGATTCAGTATACAAAATATAATGGCCTAACATACAGATGTACATATATAGATGTAAATGAAAAAATATAAAGAAAAATAGAGAGAGAGAGAGAGAGAGAGAAAAAAAAAAAAAAAAAAAAAAAATCTTAATGCCTCCACATTAAAGCACTATTACGTACTCTTCTGAATATGTAGTTTCATATGTAGTTACATTCAGGGCATCATGCAGAAGGGCTACCACCTGCCATTGCTCTATAGATTCTGGGGGTAACTTAACTATATTACTACTATTAATATTATTATTATTATTATTCCCACATCACAGTGCAGTATTTCGTTGACTGCAATTCATACATGGCAAGGCAATGAGAGTACTATGAACACATTTACTGCTCAAAGAAACAAATATTTACAATCACTGGCAGTTTTAAAACATACGAAGCATATATTCAAATAAGCAAAATTACAAAATAAGAATTGTATATGTTTTTTAAACAATAAATATCTTAAGGGTGCCATCATGCTTCTTAGAGACAATAACCTAAATGACAGTACCATTCATTAGTTTTGACATGATGTATGACAAACACATCTTTCTTGCTTCTAACAAAAGTGTAGACCTACAAACAAAAAAAAAAAAAAATAGCCTCAGACATCTTTCAGATGACCACCTTAACACAAAACAGCTGCAATTTAATAGACTTCCCTCCGATAAACCTAAATTACAAGCTACAGTAGAGGTGGCATTATTATAGACTTATTAAACATCCCATGGAACTTGAGATCACATACTCCAGGCTCAAAACTCTTCTAGCATGCACAGGCTTTTTTGATGATTATTTTGATTTGAAGGGGATCTAGCGCTACGAGGCGTGCAGGACTCAAAAAAGAGGTGATACAAACACTTTGACTGACAATTGTTTGAATTGCTAAATATGGCTTGTTGCACACTGAAGAGAAAGAAGTACGTGGATGCAATACACACATCCACTTTTTTTTTTCTTTCTCTGTCTATCAACTTAAGATAAGTCTAGGTATTCAAATTCATGTGGAATAACCTGAATTAGGTTCCTGTGCAGATGCTCTAAATTACTGTCTTGGATGGATAAAATACATACTGCTTTCTTTTATTCTTTTTTTTACAATACTGTACTAACTTTACAAGCTTTGGCTGTGTCTTATGAAAAAATAATGATAACAAAAGAAAGAATGAAAAAATAGTGAGTCTCTTATGTAACATTTGTTATATATGGGCACCATGAAGATAGGTGAGGAATATTGAGAATTTAGTACTTTTACACCAAATACACACACACACATACCTTCGCACTGACTTCACTTAGTGGTCCATTGTGATAAAACTTTTTGGTCTTTGGAAATCTTCCTTTTGTAATATTTTCCTCCATTTCTTTTTTTTATGAGATTGCCTACAACCCCTGCAATGTTGCCTAGTAATATAATATTGTGACATACAACTGGCATTTTTATATTCAACTAAAGAAATAAAATCCTGAATATTACTGTCAAAGAAATGGTATCTCCATAGAAGCACTTTAAGGTTCATGAATCTTCTCTTGAGAATCTTCATGTCTGCAATGGACTAATAAAAAAGTAGATCCCTTGTCTTTGGCTCTAAACCATTCCAAATCCTTCCGATCCTTCTTTGATAGCCAGCAGTAATGCTTTTTCAAACTGCTCATAGCTGTCATAATCTGGCAGACAAAGTTGATTAAAGCTGAAAATAAAACATTGCCATTAATAAAATTCTGTTTCACCATATTTGCAGAACATACATCAATACAAATCTTACATCAATACAAAACTTTGCTACATCCAAGGATGAAATTGAGCAAATTGTAACAGTAAAAGTAACTTGTATGGCAAAACAATAAATGGAATAGCTGAAAACCTATATACAACATAAACAGAAGTGATGTAAAACTCTTGGAAAACACTGACTTTATACTAGCGATTGCCCTTCTCTAAAGAGCAAACAAATCCTACTTACACTTGGGAACCCATCTTAAGCATTGCATTCCAATAACTCCCAGCCCTCCCTAATGACAACCAAAACAATCTTTGTGAATACAGTGTACCTACCAAGTATGAGCAGTGGGTAGCACACCAAATGTATGAGCAGCTGAGATTTGGAAGCGGGGAGACAGCTGAGCAAATCCACCGGGGGGGAGACGGGAACACCCTGTGGTGAACTGAAGGAGTCGTGCCATCTCCTCCTCTGCAAGAAGATAGGCTGGTAAGTATGGCATCTTTCCTCTATTCTGTTGACTTGTAATATGATTTTCTAATACTTTCATATACCTTTGTGAAATTATGTGATGCCACTGACATATATCCTCAAGATTTATTTGCCCTCTGCTCCTCCGGAAGATAAAGAGTGGTCGGTGTTGATCTCTCCTTTTGACTGTGATATAACACCTCATACATAATCTCTGACTTACCGGTGAAGTTTGAAACAGCTGTCCAGAACCAGTACAGTACACGTCGAAACTCTGGAGATGATCCATTCACCTCGTGGTTGGCTTTGAAGTCTGCAATGCTGTACTCCTCAATTCCACACATTAGTAACTGAAAAATTCAAGGTTTTGAAATGGTCTGGCCTGATAATAATGGGTCACATTGTACATATCTCTACTCAAGATACAAAATGAAACTTTACAGGAATAGCATTTCAATTTGTTTTATATATCTGAAACACTGAAACTCAAAAACTGTCAGAGAGAGAGAGAGAGAGAGAGAGAGAGAGAGAGAGAGAGAGAAGATTTGCAAAGAGATGACATACCTCTAATTCATTTTCATCAAATATGCATAGAAGGTTGTCTGGAATAATCTCATTTAAACCAGCTAAGAAGGCATCCACTTCATTGCGGACTCTTGCAGAAAGTCTAAACTGCGCAATTGCATCTAAATACTGAAGTCTATTGTTGTTTGTCACTTGACGGGTTGTTCCTCCAGGCTCCAGCTCAACGACCTTTTACAGGAAGAAAAAAGGGTCTTTTAATGCTTTTTCTCAACAAAAAATATTCATGTGCTGAATTCAAAACATGTGTACAGAGATTTCTTCCCACAAAATATATAGTTCTATCCTCTTCCTAGTGCTGAACCTATTTTTACCTTGATCTGTCCAGTGGCATGTATGTACTCCTCGATGAAGAACAGTTCATCGTCCAACTTGTCCACCCCATGCTCTAGCAGGTGCCGTATCTTTCCATTGTACAGTTCGGGGTCATCCTGAGCAAAGTGCTGTGGATCAAGAGGCAAGAGACGCTTGTAGATGAGTTAATTTGTATTTGCGTTATATATCCAAGAAAGAGAAAGAGGAAGACATAAACATTTATCTTGAGCAATGTCCTGTGGGATGAGTGGCAAAACATGGTGAATATATATATGAATTATACATTACACAGATACACAGACAGACAGAGAAAGAAAACTGCGAGACTGAGAAAGAAGAAATGATGTGTAAAATGCTTGCTTACCTTGTAGTGCACCCGCAGCCCGATCAGCTGTGCCAGAAATGATCTTGTGAACCTTGCCCTCACAGTCTGTCTATAGCCACTCCCAAGAGCTGACTCGTATAGGCACTTCCCTACAACCCTCCCGGCAAATTCGTAATGTTTTAATTTTAGATGAGGAGGTCTGTCTGGATTTGGGTGGACTAAAGCTTGTTGACCTTCATGTAAACTAGTAAAGAGACCATTGTTATTGTCAAACAACTGAGCACAGATCAGCTCGAACCACTCGCGCCTCACACCGCCCCAGTCCAGGCCCTCCTCCCCCTGGAACGTGATCTCGAAGTTCTTGCACCAATCTGCCACGGTGAAGTTCTTTGTCGCCTTCATGGACGACTCCAGCAGCTTCTCTCTGGAGACGGTAATCTGAATCCTGTCGTGCATGCGCTTGCTGTGGTACTTGCGCACCTCATGATAAAAGTGGTCCTGCTTGTCCTTGAAGGTCTCGGAACCTCCGATGTTCTTCAGCATGAACTGGGTGAAGGTGGAGGCTATCACATTGCGGTCCTTGGCAGCCAGGAACACCAGCGGCTGACAACCATCATCTATGCTCATGGTTGGAAGCCCGATCTGGTTGCTGGTGCCGGTGAAGTGGAACTTGGTGGATGGGCAGAGGCGGAACGTGCACACCCGCTTTGGTATGAGACGGAACAGGAACTCCTTGATGATCAACTGCTTTGGGGTGACGTAACAATACACTTTTTTTGGCTTGGTAAGATGAGATCCATTTTGAGTTAGAAGCCGGGCTTCATATCCCTCATGAACTCTTCTCATCACTGTCTTCTGGACACGCAACGCATCGTCACCTGAAGGGCAAGTAAAAAGGAAAAATGAGAAAACATGGACATGACAGCCTCCCCAAACAAAAAATAATCAATAATTGGAGTACCCTAAATTGCAGTTTTTCCCTCTCCCTAGATACTACTATATGTACTCACTAGTTAAAACAATAATGTCAAAGTTGCCATTGGTAAGGGTGGTGTTGCAGTAAGTCAGGTGCGCCCGGTAGCAGCCTGGACGTTTGAGGGTGACCTGGATACTGATGCGACGCGTTGTGTGATCGTAGACAATGCTACTCCCGGCATCAACTGTCCATCCCCCTTCCAGCTACACACGAGGGAAAATAGAGAATAATATGAGAAAAAACAGGAAAGAAGGAGGCGAGGAAAAGCAATAATGAAATGGAACTGCATTTTCATAGAAATATTAAATATTAGCTTTTTCTTTCATTAAAAACAATAAGTTGTTTTGATACTACCATCTGACACCCTATCCCAAATTCAACTCCCAAATTTCCCATTAACTCTTGCCTTGACTTTCTGTTCATAACCAACAGGTGAGGCAAGCAACTCACCTCGACAATGGAAATAGAGTAGTTACTAGTGTCCGCTTGTCCGGGGGGGAAGGAGCAGACGTTGTGGTACTGGTCACGGGGTTCTATGAGGATGTGGTGAGGCTGGTTGGCTGTGCACACAACTGTTGAGCTGTGTTGCACCATCACAGTTTTGCTTGGGTCTGGGGGTCCTGTAAAAGAGTTTCCCCTTTTAGAGATCTTCAAGAAAACACTCCCTTTTTAGATATCTTTAACAAAACATTCCCCTTTTAGATTTCTTTAACAATATCTTTAACAAAACATTCTCTTTTTAGAAATCTTTAAGAAAACACTCCCTTTTTAGATGAACAAAACATAATCTTTTTAGAGATCTTTAAGAAAACACTCCCTTTTTAGATATCTTTAACAAAACATTCCCCTTTTAGATATCTTTAACAAAACAATCTTTTCTTCACAATTTTTATAACAGATTTACATTCTTCTCCTACCTTCCTATCAACACAAAACCTTTTTACATCACTGAAGCTATATCTCCAAACTAATCTAATACAACCATAACTCACACAAATCCATTTCTCTTTATATATCTGGACTGTGAATGGACTATCATAACATAAATAAGCTACAATATAACTGTAATGGCTACTGTGTCAGACACTCACCTGGCAAAAAGTTCTTGACAAAGGGACTGCCGCGGATGTGTTGGTTGGCGAGGAGGATGGAGATCTTGTACTGTCCGGCCTGACGGGCAGTGAACTTGCATCTTGCAGTGTTGATCTGTGCATCACCGGTGCCTCCTAATTCAGTCACTACCCCAACCTAAAAATACAGTCCTCCAACTTAGTGTGTTGAAAAAATATGCAATTCCTTCTGCTATTAGCCAAGTGAACTCTGATGGGTAAACATCCCTTAACTCAATCCCCTGGGAAAATGCTGTGCTAATTTTTATTTATTTATTAATTTATTAATCTATTTATTTTATTTATCTATTTCACTTTTTTTTGTGAAATATCACATAGATGGCTCTGCTATTGCTTAGGCACAAAGGAGTCACTTAGTAGACTTTGTGACCTTACCTGATTTCACCTTTCCTTGAATTGGTGGGAAAAACATTTTTTTTGCTAATGCTATGAATATCAATGGTGTTATTTTTACTGCAGGCATTATAATTACTATAATGTTATAGACATTAGTAGCAGCAATATAAGATAACATTTAATATTTAAAAAAATCAAGGAAAAGGGAAAACAGGCAAGACAGGCAGTACTCATGATTGGCTCATTGGTGGCTTAGTACAGGTGTAGCCATCTGTGTGGAGAAAACATTAATAAAGTAAACTCATTGTGGGCATGGCATGTATGTGCTGGGCATGGCATGTATGTACTGGGCATGGCATGTATGTACATGTCATGCCTGTCGGCTTTGGGTTAATATATAATAAAGACTAAACCAGGGTTGTCACATGTATCAATAGCTCTTAACTGTGGTCCTTGGCCCAGATGTTGATCCAGCTATACCATGTGTTTTACGTGACTTGCCAAATCATTTCGTCAGAGCTGACTGCAACCTGCACATAGTTATGTTCACTTCACGTCCTATACACTTCAAATATAGCTGGCTCACTGCAGATTAACATGTGTTGTGCATTGTACATCCAGTAGCCAGCAAACTTAAGAGTAATGCCTAAGAATAAAGCTATTCTAAGAGAGACATCTCAAACATTTAGTAAGGAGTTAATGGCTCAAGGACAAAAAATCTCAAACAGTTTGCACGAGCATCATTAAATTTCTTGCCAGACTTAGAATAACTTTCCAAGGTAAATATATTCCAAAAGGATAAATATTTGCCATAGTGTGGGTATACAAGGGTTTGAGAAAAGCCCAAGAAATCCCAAGGAAAATGTTTTTGAGATCAATAAGACTCTCATTCTGATTCATTTTGGTGTGCAAGGGATGATGCAAGGCTGCAATAAACCAACGCTCTGCAATTCCTAATTAGAATCACGATCCAAAAATCTTGACCAACTCAGGAAAAAGAAAAAGAAAATCATGTGGGAAGGCTCAGCTGGTAATGATGGAGAGCATGACTGACATGACACCTGTTGATCTCTGAATAAACTCTGGTGCAAGGAACGGGTCTTTAATCCTGCATTCACAGGAGAGTTCTCTAAAGGGAATGTTTCCTAAAAGAAACAAGAACAGTGCAGCCTCCACACTCATGAAGAAAAAAAGAAAGAAAAAAGAAAAAAAAGAAAAGAAAAAAAAAATAGAAAAGAAAAGAAAAAAAAGTTCCTTTTTTTTTCTTTGTGATCTTCTTCACTGGATAATTACCTCATTACATCACAATATTCATCAAGTAACATTATCACACTCATCACTTCATCATTACACTAATATTATCATTAACACATTCGCCCAACTATTAATACCATCAACCTATACACATACCTATCAATCTACCTATAACATTTGGAGGAAAACTCTCATCAGCATCAACAAGAGAGAGAGAGAGAGAGAGAGAGAGAGAGAGAGAGAGAGAGAGAGAGAGAGAGAGAGAGAGAGAGAGAGAGAGAGAGAGAGAGAGACAGAAAGAGTGTGTGAGAGAGAGAGAGAGAGAGAGAGAGAGAGAGAGAGAGAGAGAGAGAGAGAGAGAGAGAGAGAGAGAGAGAGAGAGAGAGAGAGAGAGAGAGAGAGAAAGAGAGAGAGAGAGAGAAACAGAAAGAGTGTGTGTGAGAGAGAGAGAGAGAGAGAGAGAGAGAGAG